CTACACCAATAGATTGTTTCACTCAAATAACTGAAATTGTCAAATAGATGGTCATTTTCAATTAACAAAGACTATCTATAACAGGAGAGTGCAGAACTTAAGAATCTGCATCTCACCTGACTACACTTGCAAGCATTTCTATAATTCACTGCATCAAACAATATTATATAAAGTAGAAAATAGGAAAACGAACGTTCAGCACAATGACATCATGGTGACTCTCTAATTCTATCACATAGTTGCAATAATTAAGACATCAAAAATATGCTTATCTGCATAACTAAACAACAGAGTCATATCTTCTAGTTAAATCTATAATTTTCTATTCTGTGCAACTTTATCATCATTGTTGTATTAAATATTATAAATTTCCAACAAATTCTGCCTCATCAAAATAGTATGGATATGGTTAATCAAAAGCATTTCTTTACCTACTTCCCTTCTTTGGAACAGATACCCCATCTTTGGACTTTTCACCTGCCATCCGCGAATGAATAAAAAGGCCCATACTTTTATTAATGTGTCCCCAGAATAATAAAATGCTATCTATTTATCCATATTGCTTCTATAAACAGAATTATGAATTGAAGAGCTTTATCAGTAATTAACAAGTACGTTTAAAAGATTTGCGGTGGCACTAACCCTCAGATTCGCTCTTTGCTTTCTCGTTGGGGTTGATAGTCCCTCCACGAACAAAAGTCTTAGACCCAGGTGCATTATCTCCTTGAAATGACTCTACAAATTCCGCATACAATCGAGCAGTTTCATCCTCTTCTCTCTACAAAACGAAATTAAATTAATTAGATCAGTCAATATCACTCAGATGGTAGAATCCACTTCGCAAGTTAGACCAAATACCTTCTTCTTTGCCTCTTCCTCCTCTCTGTGCTTTTGGAAAGGAGTCTTTTTCCGAGTGATGGAAAATGAACTCATGTTTGCATCAATCTCTAGGCAGCATTAATAAACGTCAAATACAGGAAGTCCAAAACCCTAACCATAACGTCATCTCGAACCTAAATTCATAGACCACTGGGCAGTGGGCAAAGCTATCCAAACAACTAACAAAGTGGAATTGGTAAAAACTAACGCTCAGAACAACCCGACATACTTGGATTAAGGCTCCTACGACTTCCGCACAAGCACCACAACAAAGTAATCACAAAATTTTTCACAAACGAAGCACAAATTAAGACGACCAGAGCTGAACACAGCTGATCCCTTTTTAAATTTAAGTTTCCCAGAAAGAATTAGAGTTGGCGTTCAGTCAATGAGCCATACACAGGCAGAGCAGCAGAGCGCGCAAAGCGCGTTCATATCAAAAATCACACGACCTAATATTATTGGAACCATTAAATTGAAGACCAAACACAAAACATTATTCGAAACATTAAGCCAGAGACGGAAGCACCCAAGAAAGCTGAACATCGATTATGAAACCAGCTCGCTTGGATGAGCATTAAGCACCAAAAAAGGGGTCATTATGCAGCGAAGCACAAAGTACGACTGGCCCCAAAGGCTCAATAGAGACGACTTACAATGAAAACGGAAACGTGAAAAAAAAGTGCTAGGGTTCCGGCAGTGTGGAGGATGAGGTTTTGAGCGGTTTTCCGGTGGCACGCTAATGAGAGGACGGGCGGAGAAAACACCAGATTTAAGTTTCAGTCGAGGAGCAGGAGCAGAGCAACCCGGGAAAAATAAATTAAGTTACCGCTGGTTAGAAATGGTGGAGTCACGGTACGTTGCTAATTCGCCGGTCACCCAGTTTCAATCCTTTATACGGGGCCAAAATTTGGCATTCACCAACCCTTCTGCTCTTTTTTTTTCTCTCTTTTCTATTAATTTTGGTCCTTGTAATCTTCATTTTTAGTCATTTTAGTATCTTCTATTTTTTCCTTACGATAATTTTGGTCTATATACAAATATCGAATTTAGTATATATAATTTTGAAAAGTAACTATTTTATATTTGTTTATAGATATTAACACAATAAAACTATTTTGTTTATTGAGTATTGTACTGTTAAAAGTATGATTAAAAATGAGATAAAAAATAAATTGATCAAATTAACCACTTGTTGAAGGTAGATTGATCAACCATGAATATTACAAGAGTGTAGATATCAAAATGAACAAAAACTAAAAGTATTTAAACCAAAAAATAATCTTGAATTTTGTTTCCAATTGTTGTTTTGATGGTCCTTCCGCCCATTTGTTTGGCAATGTGTTTTTCTTTTCGGTGATGATGTAGAAATTGTGTTTGGAATCGCATGTTTTATATACTTCCATTGACTACAAAAGTATTTTTTAAAGAATAGTGGTTGAATTATAAGTTCATATTATGTTATTCATATCAAATTTAATAGGTTTGTGAATTAAAACTGTATATGTATTTATTAATACAGTCTAGAATCAACCTAACATGTACAGTCAACATGCCAAATAACCAATAGACTAGCAAGATTATAGTAAGGACATATTTGACATCAAATTACAAGTGAAAAAAACCTTTTCAAAATACAAAGGTTACTTAAATAAGTTTAGGGACATCAAACAAGTTTTGAACTGTAGAAACTGATGCCGCAATCAGCCACCCAACCTATTACCATCGTCAACAATCGACCAATCAGTTGATTCGGGTGTACATACGTGTCAACGACCGACCAATCAATCAATTTGATCAATTGTTTCATGTCTAAAGATTGTTTTATCAGATCAATTTTCGGCCTCCAACGTACAACCCTAACTTAAAAATATAATCAAAACCTCAAAGTTTTTAAATGATAAAAATATGCTTTTTTATATTATTATTCAGCTGTAATAAACCAAAAATAATCGAATTGACTATAAGAACTCCGAAGAAATTCAAATAAATTTTACAGCAGAACATAAAAGTTAATATTTATGATATTTCTGGTTATTCTATTTAATGCTTGCAAAAAATGATTTCAGAAAAACAGTACAATTCTCCAAGTAAAAAACAGATCATATTATAAGATATTAAACGATCTTACTATACCACTTCAGCCTATGCGTCCCAATTAAATAACTAAATGGGACTATGGGAGGAGGATCGATCAAGGTTCTACATGATCCATCCCAAAACAATGGAGGCCAACCAAGATATGAAGAAACTGATGCCCTGCAACAGCCAACAAGCAACAGCCTTGTTGATCATAATAGATACTCTGTAAAAGATAGGAAAAACACAATCAAATATCTTCTAGATACAGATGCACGCATGGGAAGTAAAGATTCATGTATAATAAAAACCCCGGGATTGTAATCGTAGCGGGATAGATAAGACAGGATAAATTTCCACACTTCACACAAGTGCCTTTTTAACTTGATCATATTATGCAGAAGTTTAGAATGTGACTGAGAACAGATTCAGCAGCTCATATTTGTCTCAATGTGCCAGTTTCTTCAGATGTTGAAATATCCTCTGTTTAATCCACTGCCGATCATAAGGCAAATAAGCCTGAACTGAATGATCGAATCTGTTGGGGGGAGGGGGGCAATCAGAAATCTTATTGTAACTTCAAAACCAAGATAGATATGCAGAAAATATTTACTTCTTAAAGGGTACAGCGGTAAGTTTACAGATGCATATGTATATCAAACGTGACTCCATCTACACTATCGTATCATCTGCCTTTCACTTAATAATTGGCCGAGAAAGCCTAAAAAGTTAAAAGTTGACATCGGTCCATCAAAAATTAAGACCACCCTTTGCCACAAAAGACAAAGTTTTCTTTGTTCCAACAATAAGTTTGACGTTCCTGTTTGAGCTATTCTTGTGGCAATATATGGATCCTAGCGATGAACATATGACATCAATCCTTTTATTCTGCAGGTGACTATCCATAGTTCCTTGTAGTTATTTCTGTAGTTATTACCTTTTTATCAGGTTGAAAGAATAATAAGTAAAAAAATGTACATCAAAGGGACAACAATAACTTGAAAGAAAAACAAAAAAAAAAAACTTGCTTTTCTACAAGGTTGAACTAAACACTTCAAGACTCGTATAGTAAGAAAGAAAGAAAGAAAAAAAAAACATTTTGAAGATCATGAGCAGAAAAGTTGTTCTTCTAACAATTGAAACAGTTCAGTTTTTATTCACGAGTAGGGGAAGGAGTGAGAAAGAGAAGGCATCATACACTAGTGCACTCATATCAGCGAGGCCATCAATGAAATTGTAGAGATCTGCAATGTCATAAGTGATGTTCCTGATGGCTGGATTTAAGTCTTTAAGCTTCCTTTCATATAGTCCACATATACCTGTACCAGTTCAAAGGTATAACAAAAAATTCAATAAATTAAATTTCCAGACTAATACATTATTTAATTTATTTCTTAATTTTTCTCACTTTTACAAGCTTTTTTTTTTTTTTTTAGGTTTTCAATATCCACGGGTGTCTAAACCTGTTTATTCATATATAAACTGATTTCACCGAACAAATTAACGACTAATTGCTCTCACCATATTTACCATTAAAAAATGTAAAATATCAACATCTCAAATCCATGTCCTCAAAAGAGTTTAGACTTGCAGCTCGTCCCTTTGATTATTACAATGGTCATTAAATCTTTACTCATTCCAGCCACATAACTAAATCACACGTGATTTCCTCCTATAAAACAAAACAATATTTGTAGTTTCATAAACATGGGGGAGGTCCTACAATGCACGTCTCTGTTTTTCAGAAGAGCAAGTTATTAACAAAGATGTTTTTTCCCCTGTGCAAAGGTTCAGGCCATGAAACCACTGAGATATGAAATGATTTCTTAAAAGGTTGAATGAGACCTTTGTCGAATAATAGTTTCAAATAAATTCCAAGAATGCAATAAATGCAATACTCCTTACTCAATGATCGATTATAATGCTAACACAGTGAACTCTTATAAGACATTCATGTCTAGTATAGCAGATTTAGATTCTGCTCTTTTGACTTCTTTTTACTATTTTGTGTTTTGCTTGGCATGTAACGCGGTGGTCTAAAATGATATTAATTATCAAGTCCTTTAATGACCAATAGTTGAATTTTCTGGACAAATAAGTCACATAAATGGAGAGCCAATTGAGAAACAGTGAAACACCTAAGTTTCCTCATCATCGTTGAACTATAACATCAAAACTTTAAACTAAAAAAAGGTCCTGCATCACTTGCATTATGAGCAGACAATATAGAAGGTAACGTACCAACAATTAAGAAGATGATGAGTTGTTCAAAGGAAATGAAAAGAAGACACACCCAGACCTGTGATGGTACTCTAAAGGTATAACTTTGACTTCTATATTATTTTGCATCATTCATCAATAAAGATAGGTGATTGCATTTAATATTTGCTTTGATGTCAAAATTTTGAACTCCAGAATCTTTTTTTTTTCTATTTTCTTGAGCACGTGAACTCCAGGATCAAGTGAAAGTTGATAGAATCTAAGTATGGATGAAGAGATCCCAACCAAAACAAGACAGCAAAGGCAACCAGACGAACATCCTTTATGTAATACTTTAACTTATCCTTCAGATGCCATTATATGAAACTATTTTTTACTCCTACTAAATCTATAAACCTGCAGAAACTTATAACCATTTTAATGAAACCATAACCAACCATTTCACAAAAGGCATTTTTTTTTTATAAGAAACAATTTCATTGATGGATGACATTACAAAGAGAGGGGCAAACCCACGAAAAACCAAAGGAATTACAGAAAACTTCTCCAATTGGATAATAAAGAGCTCAAACTATAAGAATGAAAATGGTGTGTTGATCTACACCAAGACATAGCATGAAAAGTAATATTATCAAAAAGGGTGATGAAAGGCAGATTTCAAAAAGGGTACGAAAAGCCTTAAAAAATAAACAATGATATTATACTTTCAACATAACTATTGAGAAGCATCCTTGGCTATTTATTCCACGATCTAGCATCTTCTTTACTCAAACAATATAAGTAGGTGATAAATCATACCGTCCATTGATTGACTTATTGAATCATAATCCATAAAAGTCCTGGTTGCCCTGTTGTGAGAAGTTTGCATAAGAAGGATGGTATGCCTGTTAGCCTGAAGGAGGGGAAGATAAAGAAAACGATTAGTCAAAAACTCAACATGAGATGTGGGTGTAATTTTCTTTCAAAATTTTTTTTAAAATAATAAAACTAAAAATTAAAAATAAGGCCCTTCTGCAGAAGTACATCAAGATCAACATAATGTTCGTGTTCTCTTTTCTTACAAACTCAGATCTTCATGTTCATATTTTTATGTAATGACAAGACTGTGTCACTGAGACAATCAGACAACAGATTCAAAATTAGATGGAGACGGCTGTAAAGTTCAAGTTTCAAATGTAAGCAAGAATAAAATTTTATCACGAGGGAATCAACAACCATCCTGTTTGAGTTGATGTGGTCGTTGCAATTAAACTTAAGCAAGAACAATGAGAGTCATCTTCAGCATGTGAAGCCTACTGGTTAATCAGAGAGAAAAGCTCAAGCCATGCAACTACTATCAATTTCTGGACAACACAAAATATAACAGCAATTACATTTACCATATATAAAAGCTCTTAGCGGTTATTCCTGTTCAATGAGCAAAACTGTATCAGTTTCAGTGTATCTTGTGCAAATTACTTCAAAAATCCCTAACCCTTGATTTGATACTCCGCAAGAAGAAAAGGTGTAGGCTCGGAAGGGGAAGGCAGAGGGAGAAGACTAATCACCGATAAAGGCACATTGGAAATACTTAAGAGTTACTATTTGTTTAAGAGTTCATTGAATAGAATAGAAAAAGCATAGTGGAACAAGTACTTCTAAATCCCATGAATAAGAACGAGTTTCAGATCGGCAAGGAAACCCTAACAAAATGAAGACGGCAAATTCGTAATGGAAGCGTGGAATTGAAGCTTAATGAATACAAACGAGTAGAAGGGAATAGAAAGCGAGAAAGAAAGACGTTAAAAGGGCTGTAAATTACCATGGGAAGCGGTAGTGAACCTCGGCTCAGAAAGGAAGCTCACAGGGCGCGTTGCAGAGAATTGATGGCCGCTGTGTGAGTGAGCGAGCGATAGAGAGAGAGAGAGAGAGAGCGCGGAGGCGACGACGACGACCGAGAATGAGTTGCGCGTAGAATTGACCATCGCAACACTGTCGTGTCAATCCAGGGCTATAATGGAGAATTCCATGAGCGAGCTATCTTTTTTACTTCAAGGAAAGGATTTTTTTTTTCTTTTTCTTTTTCGTATTATCTCGTTAATGTTCCTTTTCATAGTTGCAATTTCTTTTTAGTCAAATAACATCTAGACCGGAATTTTATCATCCTCTACTCGGACTATATGTCTAAATTAAATTAATAAAATAGGTTTAAATTCTCTCACATTTATAAGTTGCAGCTCACGCATTCACGACTTAAAAATTTTACAATTATAATAGTGAAAAAATATATTTTTTATTTTTAAGTTGGTCCATATATTTTAAAATATTACATTTTTATCTTTTATCTTGAGTTTAGTTTTCATTTGGTCTTTAAATTTTAAAATATTAAATTGAGTTGCTGTGATCTATACTTTTTCTGGAGTGTAATCCAAATTCCATCTGCTTTTCTCTATTTTGAAAAGTAAATTGCATTTTCACAAATATTTTAGCTATTTTTCACTTTTCTTTAAAATATTTTTAATTGTTTTGGTTGATATGAGTTTAGTTCGACTCTTAAAAGGTCGAAAGTTCAATCTCATATTTTCATTTAAGTATCGTTATACTTTTTTCTCTTCAACATTTTTTTTTAATGAAATATACTTCTCTCTAATTTTTCTTCCTCTAAATCTACATGTTTACAATGTCAAAAAAACAATAAATTAGATAAATAAATCTGTATGTTCTTTCTACGTCAGTTATAACATTTATTTTGATTGCTTTTTATAACTTTTCTTCCCTTTCCAAGAAAATACAATCTCAAAAAAAAAAAAAGAACTATAACAAAACAAATAGCCATTTTCACGTAGATCATCATTTATTGAGAAAATAAAGTCTAACAAATAGTCATTTTCAATAATAAATTGTCAAACATTAAATAGTAGAGTAGTGAACAATAGGATAGAGACAAGTTTTTACCGGCAATGACCAACATAATTTCCTTATATTAATATGAGACATTTTAGATAAAACTAAAAAGTAAAGTAGATGTAAAAGGTTGACTTCCAACACTTTAATTTTATTGACTTTATAGTTTATGGAATTGAACTGGCTGATATTGGTTGATTTATTTTATGAATTGACCTTATACCATAATCTCATATAGTTAGTGTTGATGTTGAAATTCGATTTGTTGACGTGACCATCGAAAGAAGATGTGGTGACTTACCTAACTTACATAACCGAACTCAGACTAGTGTTGTCCTGCCAAATGCTCTCCAATATATTGCTCGGATTAGAACTTAGTTTGGAAGAGTTAATTGAAGAGCTCAAATATTGTAATATGTGCACCTTTGAAGAGGGTTGGAAACATCTTCTATAGAAAAATACTTTGGGATAATGTGTTTTGAAAGATCCAGGTCGCACCATTGGACAGATTTTGTTGCTAGCTCCAATGATCTTTTGACATGCACGATCATACTTCCGCTGAATGTTAGCAAATATGCCACCGATCAATCTCAGCCTTAGGAGGTTAGACGAATAGGATTGTCTATCTCGGTGGAACGTGGACTTTCCCTCTTGGGCCTTTTGAGCCTGGGTTTGAGCCCATGGCTAAGTGGCGCTCAGGGATTCGTCACGTGTATAGTTCGACTTTGAGCCC